CTTGCAGAGGATGCTCGTGTGGGTGCTGGACCCCCCCAACTTCCTAGGATCACCCAAGCTGCCATGGGGTGCACACAAAGCAGACTCAGCCTTACCCCCATCCCTCCCCCAAGCTGCTCTCCCAAAAACCCAGGTCAAGACATCAGAGTTTCCTGGGGGAGACACAGCCATGAGCACTTAGCGAGCTGCAGATTTGGCTTTGTTTCTCCAGACAGAGGGGGAAAAAAAGCAGCACATCACAAGCCCAGCCAAAGCACTGCTGTAATGTGCCAAATAAGCCGCACTTGCTGGGGAGTGGACCAGACCGGGGCTGAGCCAGCCTTAACCATGCCAGGAACCCTGCTGCAGCAAGGGCTGGGGAGCCAGCGAGGGCTTGCTTTCCAGCTCTGCAAGCCCTAAAAATCTTCCAGCCATGAGCTGGACAGCGCAAGGTGAAAGCACGAGGTCTTCTCCATCATTTGAGGGTTAGGTAGGTTGGAGGTGACTTCTGGAGGCCTCTGGTCCAGCACCTGCTCAGAGCAGGGCCAGCTTCCAAATCAGATCCCACTGGCCATATCGAGGCAAGGCTTTCACCAGCAAAGCCCTGATGCTGGCATGCAGGCCCCCATGCTTCCTCCCAGAGGGAAAAATCCAGCAATAACTCTGCCAGGAGCTCACGTGTGCTACCTGCCCTCCATCACAGCACCTCCCGGTGTGTCCACACCTATTTTCATGCAAGCTTTAGGAGCAGTCATCTGCAAAATCCCTAATCCTTGGCTCAAATTGGGCTAAAAACAGCCAATGAATTAAAAACTCATAGCAGATACATGGATAGACAGACAAAGGTATGCACACATGACCACATAAGCCTGTTTTCATAAGAAATCTAACTAAAATACTCACCTAAACTGCTCTGCAATAATGTTTTTTAACTCTCATGTTCCCATGTGGTAGATCCCTCAAATTACAGAGATGCAAAGAACATGGGTATGGGTGTGGAGAAGAAAGCCAGGCCTCCAAGCAGTACCAGGTCTAAAGCCTTGCCATGTGTGATCTTGGGGAGAAACACTTTAAAACAGCATCTGCATGTTTCCAAGCCAGAGAATGCCCCAAAGGGCTCACGCGCTGCCTAACATACCCAAGCATCCTCCCAAGCACGCACTGTAGGCAGCTACAAAGGGAAAGCTACCTCCTCCGCATGCCTTGGAGCACTGAGACCAGCTCTTGAGGGCCCACTCGTAGGAATCCATCTCCTCAAGCAGGACATTGTTGTTTCCGATCATGGGCAGCAAGTCTTCGTGGATGATGTACCGGTACATCAGGCTGCTCCTCACCTCCTCCTCCTGAGGGATGACCTGCAGGCAGAGGGAGGACAATTGGAGAGGGGGAAGGAGAGGAAGGAGTGATGCCGTGGGAGAGGAAAGGAAAGAGGAGGCCATCAAATCAAAAAGAAGTGAACAATGGGCCCCTCAGCACAGGAAGGACATTGAGGTGCTGGAGCGTGTCCAGAGAAGGGCAACGAAGCTGGGGAAGGGTCTGGAGCACAGGGCTGATGGGGAGCAGCTGAGGGAGCTGGGGTTGTTCAGCCTGGAGAACAGGAAGCTGAGGGGAGACCTGATCGCTCTGCAGCTGCCTGAAAGGAGGGTGTAGTGAGGTGGGTGTTGGGCTCTTCTCCAAAGTAACAAGCGACAGGATGAGAGGAAATGGGCTCAAGCTGTGCCAGGGGAGGTTTACATTGGATATTAGGAAAAATTTCTTCACGGAAAGGGTTGTCAAGCACTGGACCAGGCTGCCCAGAGAGGTGGTGGAGTCACCATCCCTGGAAGTGTTCAAAAAACAGGCAGACGTGGCACTTTGGGACATGGTTTAGTGGGCATGGTGGTGTTGGGTTGATGGTTGGACTGATGATCTTAGAGGTCCTTTCCAACCTTAAGGATTCCTAGTTTTTACTTTCATTAAAAAATAATCCCGCCACCAAGCCAGGAAACATGAAATTGCTACTCTCCCCTTAGCTGGTTTAGTGGTGGACTTGGTAGTGTGAGGTTAATGGTTGGACTGGATGATCTGAAAGGTCTTTTCCAATGTAAACAATTCTATGATTCTATGATGACCACATGGTACGGTACACACAAGAGTAGGAGAAACAAACCCCGTTACTACCTCCAAAGTGATTAGGTGGGCTCTGAACACAGAGTCAACCCTTCGGGAAGGTACCTCTCCAGTTGTGGAGAAAAATGCTGCCCAAACATCCCAACTCCCAACTTGCGTCGCATGCCCCTGGCCTCTCCTCTGACCTGCAGGACCACAGTCTACGCCCAAAGCCAGTGCTGGCCATGGGGATGGATGGGAGTGCAGACCTACCCTTCCCTGGGTGCCGAGGGAACCCAATCCCTAACTCCCCCAAATCCCAGTATAACTAAAACAAGAGGTGGAGTCATAAGCAATTGCTGCACAGAGCAAAATACAGCTGGACTCAAAGGCAAGCACCCGAGCAATGCATCCTTACGCCATTCTTGCATGCAGCTCATCACCCCTTGCTTTTGGCTAGCTCATTTCCCTGGTTTTAATGACACCCACTACATCCTTTCTCTACCAAAGTCCTTCCATCACCTCCTACATCCCGTCTCAGACCACCCTTCCTCTCTGTACCACTGGGTGATGGTCGTCCCCAACACCCCCAGAGGATGCGTCAGACAGGCTTACCAAAACGCTGATGGCCTCGTGCAGAGGACCGCTGGTTTTCAGGCTCTCCTTGCCATGTTCAATGGTGTATTCCCACTCCAAGCCCATCTCAATGAACACTTGGCTTTTAGCTTCTTTGCCCTTGGCATTAAGGATGAAGTTACCTGTGGCTTGATTCTTAACAGCTGGAGGAGAAAGGAGGTATTTCAATGTCATTTCCTCTGGGCACTGACTTTGAAGGACTGGAATGACCCAAATAAGACCCTTTGGGTGGGAATTGTCAGAATAGGGCCGCGAAGAGGTAGCGGGTGAAGGGAGAGGTGAACTACGGCGTACTCACCGATGCTGTGGGACGCCGGCTCCATCTCTTCTATCTGAAGGTGCCTCGCCCCAGCTGGAATCTCAAACATCTTCAAAACACCTACTGAAAGGGAGGGAGGAAGGATGGAGGGAAGAGAAAGAGCAGGTTTGCTCCACCTGGGCACGCACCCGCTCACACTCACGTATGAATCCAGCTCACCCGGACCAAATCCCCTCCCAAACCTATCCAGCCCACTCACCCGGCTGCTTGGGGGTCTTGGCCAGCGTGCCCTTCACTGTCCGGCAGTGGGAGTTGTCCCCCCCGCAGACCCCGCACTTGTCGTCCTGCTTCAGGGAGCCGACCTCCTTGTCACAGCCGACGTGCTGTCACCCGTGGGGAAGAGAAGACAAGCATGGGGTTACATCCCTGCAGCTCCGCCATCCCCATAGCCCTCTGCTGCACACAGGGTCGGTCCCCGGGCTAAAACATGCATCCCCAAAGAGTTTTGGGTCAAGGGAATGCACAAGCTCTCTCCTGGACAGGCAAAGGACAGGGACAGTCATCCAGCAGCCGTCAGCTCCTCACCACGCACTCGCCCCGGACGCAGATGCTGTAGGGGTCTCGGTAGCTGCACCGGGTACCGTCGTGAACAACCTGATTCATGAACACCACGTCCCCCGTTCCCTCGGACTGGCAGATCAGCTCACACTTCTGAGCATCTGCGGCAAAATAAAAAGTAAAGGGGAAAAAGGGGGGGGCGGGTGGGAAGGGTTTGCGGAAATACATTAAGGTGATTGAAAATAGAAACCCATCTCAGCTTGTACCCCTGAGCACAGCCAGATTTCCAAAGCCCAAGCTATTCATGTGCCTTATTTTGCCATGTCCATTTGCTGCTCAAGAGCCTGCACTTTCACCCAGCACGTTCAGGAAATTAAGAGAAGGCAACGGGACTGGACACGCTACGTGACACTGAAATGCAAGACGCTTGGCTGTGTGCACTGAGGAACACCAAGCCAGGCAGGCGGACCTGGCTCCCATCCCCGCCCGGAGCAGCACGCTCTCCGCTGTGGCTCCAGGAGCGAGCAGGCAGCGCCGTCACCCCACCATCTCCAAGGAAAACAAGTCCTCTGCATGCCAAAGCACACAGAGAGTAGTAGTGCAAACGGATTTATCTCTGGCTACCATTATGAGGGGCTCTCCTCTTACTGGAGCAGGGAGAGGTTTCAACATGGACTGATCTTCTCAGCCCTTCTCTGCTGTGCTTTGAGACAGCAGGAACCAGAGCAACATCTGCGTTTCTCTACACGACACTCCAGGGCAAGCAGAAAAGATTGATTTTAAGGACTTGGCTGCTTGATGCTGGCTTATTGCACTCTAGTTTCCAGCTCAGGAGCTTTTCCTCCTATGGTGATGGCCACCAGCATGGCTTCCTCTGGGAGGGAAGACAATTTCGCTACTGCTCCTTTGCTAGGACCTGCCACCCCTCACCGTCCTGATGCTCGTAAGGAAGCCAGGCATGCTTGCTGTTCTGGTGGGTGTAGTAGGAGTTGCGTTTGGAGCACTGTTGGGCACGGAAATCCTGGTAGGGCGCCGGGCACTCCTCGGCGTTGCACACTTGATACTCATATGTGGCTCCCGGGCAGTGGCGTCCACCATACGCCGGGCTGGAAAATAAAACAAGTGCGTTAAAAGAGCGTTGTGGGGGTGATGCTGTTCAAATGCAACGCAGCTCAGTACCCAAATGCATGGCACAGCCCAGGCAGGAGCGGATGTCCCCATCCCCACCAACTGAGCGCACAAGGGGAAGAGCGAGGAATGTCTGGCTCTTGGGCACTTCCAGCTTTACCCCCGCTAAAAGGAGGGCGCCAGAGGCCAAACGTACGGTGGGTTGTCGCAGCTCCGGCTGCGCGAGCGCACGCCTCGCCGCCCGTGGGCCCTGGGCGCTGAGCCGAACTTGGACCAGGAGCTCCAGCTGCCATCCTGGCTGTAAGGCTGCTCCGACGTCTTCCAGATGCAGTGACCCTTGAAGCACCACTGGAATCATAGAACCATCGAATCATTCAGGTTGCAAAAGACCTTTCAGATCATCCAGTCCAACCATTAACCTCACACTACCAAGTCCACCACTAAACCAATTAAGGGAAGAGTAAGAATTAATTTCATGTTTCCTGGCTTGGTGGCTGGATTAGTTTTTAATGAAAGTAAAAACTAGGAATCCTTAAGGTTGGAAAGGACCTCTAAGATCATCAGTCCAACCATCAACCCAACACCACCATGCCCACTAAACCATGTCCCAAAGTGCCACGTCTGCCCATCTTTTGAACCCCTCCAGGGATGGTGACTCCACCACCTCTCTGGGCAGCCTGGTCCAATGCTTGAACACTCCTTCCATGAAGAATTTTTTCCTCATATCCAATCTAAACCTCCCCTGGCGCAGCTTGAGGCCATTTCCTCTCGTCCTATCAAACCCTCCAGCACAGCAGGGCCAAAACCCATGGGAAAAAACCTGAAGTTTCCCTAGGAAACTGTTGCACCCGCTCCACCCCTGCCAATAGTGGGAGTATTGAAGGGATGCGATGCTTGCTATAGAAAAAAAGATACTAGCAGCACAGAAGGTGTTTGGAGAGACGGCTGGGGCCCCCAGCTCCCATGTGGGACAAGGCTGGGAAGGGTGACACGAGGACAAGCCCCTGTTCCAATGCTTGACTACTTTCTGTGAAGAAAATTTTCCTAAAGGGAAGGGAGGAAAAAGAGGGGTGAGCTCTGTGCCTGCACCTTCCAAAGTGCTCAGCACCGGTAAAGACAGCCCTCCTACACCCCCAGCACTGCAAAAACAGCTCGCAGTTTGCAAAGCACGGGAGGAAGGTCCTCTTCATCATGCCCTCGGGCATGTCCCTCCCATAGGAAGCAGGACCAGGAGTGGTCCCTGGGCATGCGACAGCAGGCCTGCCCTGCAGGCTGCTTTGGGGACTAGCAAGCTGCATCATTTCACGACTGACCCAGGAGCACAAGCAGCCCACGGCTTTGCTCTGAGAGCCCAGTGCAGCTCCATGGCTAGGACTCGCAGCAGAAAATGCAGCAGAGGAGCAGGGATAAGCAGGGCAAGCTCCCAACACATCCATGCTTTGGATCAGATAAGAAGAGCCTGCAGCTGCATAAACCTGCCCAAAAACTTGTGCAAAAAGCCGCTGAAGGCACCAGCCTGGGGCATGCAAAGATCCCTCTGCAAAACAAAGCCCTTTGATTTTCTTTCCCCAACACCAAATTTTTGAGTTCCTGAGCTGGTTTTCTCTCTCCAGTCAAACTGCCTCTCCCTACCCATGCAGATCCTTGGGCAGGCACTGGATTACACCTGGATCCGGGGCTGGATCAGCCCTGGGGATGTCTCCCCGCTGGCACAGAGAGGGGATGAACCCAAACTTTTGCAAGAAGAGCAGCAGCAAGCCGCTGGGCATTTTTATACACGAAATCCAGAGCTCCGTACTTCTTCCCAGGCACGCACGCATGCAACGCCTGGCATGAAGCTGCGGTGTCACCCCACAGGCACGCAGCCCCAGGGTTTAACTCCAGCGCTGGGGTAAAGCCCAGCTTGTGCCCATCACAGGCCTGAAGGAAGGACCTCCCAGTCCAGATGTTGTGGTCGTCTGGAGCCACGTGCCAGCACGACGTGTACTGCATCTGTACGCGACTCAAAAAGCCTCATTTTGGAAGCTTTTGGCAAACCATCACTCAAGCACTTGAGGAGGCAGCGTTTTCAGTGAGATTGCTGGGATTTATACAGAAATTTAGCAAAAGTTGTTGGATACTTTACGCCCATCCATTCTTCGGTAAACAACCACCCAAAAAGTACGTGGGCCAGCAATTTTTCCAACATATCCACGCTTTCACGATGTGCTAACAGGCATGCTAAGAGAGTCTAAAGTGAAAGCCTGATGACATCACGAGGTTGGACACGCAGTGATGTCATCGCTCTTTTGCCAGGTGACAAAACGAGTCCTGCTTCTCTGCAGAAGCAGGTAGATCAGAAGAAAAGCAAAGTCCTCATCCGAACACAAAATGAGGGGGGAAAAAAAAGGAGTAATGCCAGCTAAAAGCCAGGCACCCACCGACTGCTGCCCTCGAGGGTGTCCCCGTCCCCTCCCAAGGGAGGATGAGGCAGGACCAGCCCCTACCTTGCCTGGAGAGCACTCGGTCCCATCCAAGGGTGGCCCCTTCTTGGTCTTGCAGAAGTAGGGGTTGTCCGGGTGGCTGCACCACAGCTGCTTGCAGGGGTCGAAGGTGCGGAACTGGGGAGCACATTGGAGCCGGGCTGGGACGGCAGCGGGGAGAGCCCCGGCTGCGGCACCGCTCCTCGCCCCCGCGGCGCCTGGTTGAGGGTCCCGGGGAGGGGCAATGTGGGCACGCAACCTGTATCGGCTCCGTACTCACCGCCGTGTACGTCTTGTAGCCCACGCCGAAGTCAAAGCGGCACTGCTCATCCATGGAGTAGTTAATGCCCGGCAGCTCGGGTAACGTGGGCCACTGGTGCTCAAAGGGGTCATCCAGGAGGCAGTCGTAGGAGCTGCGGAGATGCAGGGCAGAGGCAAAGCGGAGTCAGACGCGGAGGATTTCCCTGCTTCACCCCTTCCCTCGCCTACAAGGCCAGGCTGAGGGAGTTGGGGTTGTTCAGCCTGAAGAAGAGAAGGCTGCAGGGAGACCTTATTGCAGCCTTTCAGTGCCTAAAGGGGGCCTATAGGAAGGATGGGGGCAATCTTTTTAGCAAGGCCTGTTGTGACAGGATGAGGAGTAATGGATTGAAACTAAAGAAGAATGGATTTAGACTGGATACAAGGATGGTGAGGCACTGGCACAGGTTGCCCAGAGAGGCAGTGGAGGCCCCATCCCCGGGAACTTCCAAGGCCAGGCTGGACGGGGCTCTGAGCACCCTGGTCTGGTTAAAGCTGTCCTTGTCACTAGTTGGGCTGGGTGAGCTCTAAAGGTCCCTTCCAACCCAAAGCATTCCATGATTCTATGATTCCCTGACCTCCAGCCCTCTCTCTAGATTCAGATATGGAGAAATCTGAACTCTCTCGGCACTGATGCTAACTACCCACTGCTGGAAAACATGTTTTCAGCAAAACACAACTGCATGGATGTATCGGGTTTGTGTGGCAAGGTTTTGGTAGCTAGGGGGAGCTACAGAGGTGGCTTCTGTGAGAGGCTGCTAGAAGCTTCCCCTATATCTGACAGAGCCAATGCCAGCCAGCTCCAAGACGGACCCAATGCTGGCCAAGGCGGAGCCCACCAGTGACGGTGGTAGCACCTCTGGGATAACGTATTTAAGACGGCGGAAAAGTTGCTGTGCAACAGCAACAGCAGCTGGAGAGACGAGTGAGAACATGTGAGAAGAATGGCTCTGCAGACGCCAAGGGCAGTAGAGAAGGAGGGCAGGAGGGGCTCCAGGCATGGAGCAGAGATTCCC